CTTTCTACAAATGTCACTCTATGGTAGCACGGACCAAAGTGGGCCAAGACTATACAGGGGGAGCCTAGCCAGGTGGCTTTTTTAAGAATTCAAGTGAAATATGGTGGTGACTTGGAAAAGAAAAATAGCATTGACAAAAGATTTGGCAGATTTAAAGTATTTAGTAGGGAGAAGCAACAGAACCTAGTGATTAATTGGATATGAGGGATTAAAAAGGTAATAATGGTGGTGAACAGGTTTCTGGATTGGGCAGGGTGTTGATGTCTTGCCTCCCACAGAAATTTGCGCCCTGGAGGGGCCAGGAGTGGAGTGTAAAATGATGGGTTTTGTGTGCAATGTGTTGAAATACACATGAATCATCTAATTTGACTCATTATGGAGCCAATCAGCTATGGATCTGGTATGAAGCGATGAGTTTTGTTTGGACATGAGAAATAAATTTTGAAATCAATATAAAAAAGAGCACTTAAAACTCCAAGACTAAATGTAATCCCTTAGAAAGTTTAAAGTGAACAGACAGGAAAACCTGGTCCTACCCCTTCAGGAATTTGACTTTTAAAAGATGATTGTATGATATATGCATAAATCCATCAACAAACAAACCCAATGTGCTAATTATAAGTTGATTTTTGTTTGTTTTCACAACTAAATAACAGATGATTTGGGAGAATCACATTATACTCTTTATCAAGACTATACCCTATATTGGTGAACAAATTGTAAAACTCATCCAGTGATGAAATTTGCTTTTAACCTAATTATGAAACCTAGAGTGATATATAATTAATCACAATGGAACTGAAAAAACTAACCAAGATTTTGTTAGGTAACTATGATGGGCTGAACATAGGACAAAAACTACTTAGCTAAGAATCAAGTTCTAAAAGTTTGGGTCAATTAGCTCAATATCTTTGACTCCTGGTGTGATAAACTATAGGATAAACATTGGACTTCACATCACAAGGTCAGCAGTTCAAACCCACCACAGAAATTCTATATAGGGTAACTGTAAGTCAGACCTGACTCGATGGCACTTAATAACAACAAAAAAATGGGAGGTGGAGTTGTTCTAATAAATGATTTTATTATTACCCCTGGGTCATTGAAACACTGTTGGACCCAGCTGCAGAAAATCTAACAATCAGTTTCCAACAATCAGTGGTCGCTTCCATTCTGACTTCATCTCAGCCATCTAAGACAGCCTGGTTTTATTCCCCATTCTTTTGGTTTTTTTAGTATAAAGCATGAATCACTTGACCCTCTCATGAAAGAAATTCTTCTCCTTCCTTACACCCCTTTCTCAGCCTAATTGTTGGCCCCAGAATTAATTCCAAAAATGAATGGAACTATGCACTTTGGTCTCAAGTTCATTGGTTACTTTTAGGTATAGGCTCCTACTGGATTTTCACTCTTCTTGCCATTCAAAAAGGATAGGTCCTAGAGGTTTTCAGGAATGTGAAACATCACGTGTAAAAAAGACATCCTAAAACGTGGGGTGTACTCATGAGGGTGTAGTCCTCTGCCTTGCAGATTAAGGTACAAGCCCACCAGGTGGGTTTCAACTACCTTCTCTTCACTTTCTTCTCTCTATCCCTGGATCATACTGTCCTCCATTATACATATTCCTTACTGTTCACCTGAGGGCCATGGCAAAATTCAAAAAGGGATCAAGAATATTCACTTGGTAGTGATTGAGCCCTACACCCAAGAAGCAAAAATCATATGTACTCCTCAGAAAAGATAATCATTTGGTCATTGATATTTTGTTGTTGTTGTTGTTGTCAGGTGCCATCGAGTCGGAACTGACTCATAG